GCAGCAGCATCAGCAGCACGGTAGCAGTGTTGTATTAATAGTACTCGTTTTATTCAATTATTAGTATTAGCTCTATCATTCACTTCGGATGCTATCTTCACACACTATCCCTCCCCCCCCCACACACACACACAGACACATACACACACAGACAAACACACTCACACACACACAAACACTCTCTCTCTCTCTCTCACACACACACACACACACATACACACACACATTGTCCTTGGTATTTTCAGAATAAACCAACGTTGTAGTAAAATGTGAGGCAGCGTGGTGTAATCAGGCTCTCGTCAATTTTTGGACAAACAGAGTTATTAGTATTATCCTAAAGCTTGTTCACTAGTCTTTATTTGGATGAAAGTAATATTCATTTATCTTGAATACAAGTCGAGATATTTGCGATAGAAAGAGGTGGGGGTCACCTGTTTTCAGAGGTAAAATTAAGGAGAAAATAGCAGTCAAAGATTAGTTATTTCCTTAGCTTATGAGTCCAAGGTAACTGAAAATTGCCATTTTTAGTGCCTTTAGTCAAAGTTTTTAAAAAGAAAAGTCCACGCAGAAATCAGTTCTTTAATGGGCATGAAAGGTGTAAAAAAATACCAAAATTTGATAAAAATTCACAAACCTGCGGAAAAATGCACGTTTCGTCACTTTGATTGTTTTGACGAGAGCCTGATTCCGCCACGCTGCCTCACAATAAATGTCTTTAAAACGTTTCATTTCCTCACAGGAGCCCACAACTTGTGTTATAAGGACCGCCAGATGCTGAAGTGCTCCGACTTGGACTTTGTTAAAAGCCATGATTACATCACAGTGGACGGTAAGCATTAATTGTGGGAAGGTATTGTTGTTGACGCGATTGTGTGTGTGTGTGTGGTTTTTGTTTTTTTGTTTTTTTAAAGTGAAGTTGTCACTTTTTTTACTGTTGCTAATGCTGCGGCTGTTGTTATTTTTGTTGTTGTTAAATACTTTTAATGGTTAATGTGCCCCACGCATTCAAATTACCTGGTGCAGTTGCGAGTGCTTTCGAATACTTGCCAAAACAAAACAAACGGTCTTTCTGTATGCCTGCCCTACCTTTTTATTCCAGGACTAAAATATCGTTATAGCATCTCTGTGATTCTTCTTCATCTTTGGTCACATTGAAATTATCGAGATTTATGGTCACACGAAACTAATAATTTTGATGTAATAAATGAAAAGTTTTTATAGCAAGTTAAATTCAACCATTTTTTAAAACGAAATTATGTTTCAAAATGTATAATATTATATTTCCAGCTGAGAGGTCTAAACTTTAGCAAGCAAACCTTTTGTCTGGCCTTTGTGAACAGCATATGCTCCCCAAACTGAAAACAGAATTTTTGATAGGACACAGCCGCTGAAATTCCAAGGGTAAAGGGGCTTTGAAGATCGTGTGGGGGGGG